AAAAAAAAAAAGCAAAAAAAAAAAAATAAAATAAAAAAACGTCAAAAAAGAAAAACACGTCAAAAAGAGAAGGAAAAAAGTTAAAAAAAGAACCGGAAATAAAAAAAAAACCACTGAAAAAGTATGAAAAGCCACATGCGACCAAACAAATCAAATTTCATGAAATTTAGTACAGCAAAAAAGAGGACCGCGTCAGGACAAAGGAACACAAAGCTAACGACCACAATGAGTGCTTCAGGGAGGGCCAGTGAGGGATTGGAGCGGAAATTGATTTGTCAGATGTAACGTGAGTTTTGACGACCACATTGCTGTTTTTTTGCAACTCGCCACAACTCCACAATACAGTTGGATGCCACAACAACAATAATAAAGATCAAGCAACAATAATAAAGCTTGCCTCAATTGTATATAAATATAGAAGTTGCCACATGCCACCAAGGTATGCGCGCTAAACGCGAATTCGTTGCCTCAAATTGAGAAAAAGTCTTTTACGCGATTGATAAATAAAAACGTGGCGAACTGGATGAAAGAACAGCGAAAAGGGAAGAATGAAACGTAAAACCTCCGACCAGGAACCAGCGAATAATAGTCAAACAAAAGTCCAGTAGTGGCCACCGTAATAAAGCAGTCAAATACAGGCGCCAGCAACAACAATGAAAGGCCAGATGCAAAAAATGCTAAATAAATAATAAACATCAAGGACATTGAGTAGCAATGACAAGGACAACAGATGGTAAGTAGAGAGAGAGTAGAAAGCAAAGGAAGGGCAGGAAAAAAGAAATGATGTTGTAATGACTGGAAAAAAACCGGGAAAATACAAGCTGCGGCTGTAACAGGGATGCAAACGAATAAAAAAAATAGATATTTCAAATAAGGAACTAAAAATAAAAATTWAAAAAAGCATTAGCTCAACGCGAGGCTACTTTTTTATTGCAACTTTTTTGCGATTCATCAAAAAAAGTAAAAGCAGGATAAACAAAATAAAAAGAAATCAATCGCACCAACCGGGTATTAGAAGACTAAAGTAGTATTGCAACATGAAAATAATATTGCCACAAAAGAAAGAAAATTCTATTGGGAGGTAGAGCCAAGAGCATGTGCTGACGACTGAGGTCAATCATCGTATTGGATGTACTTAATAATCGTCCTAATAGATAAATATTTTTACTGGTAAATAAATATATGTATAAGGAGCCTAAAGAGTTCATCTTAAATGTGCAGCGAGTGAAATAGAAAAGTCTTTGATTAGCTAAAAGGAYATCGCCAGTTTATTGACTCAATTATTTAATGATCACGGAAGCTGGTATATGGAGGAATCCCAAAAAAGGAGGCGCTTTTTCTCTGCTGACATACCGAAAATGGTTTGTCCGCAAAGTAATAGGACTGAGTCGATTTAAAATAATTTACCAACCGTTACAATTCTTTACAAACTTTCAAAATAGGCTCCGACGCAGCGCTGCTAGCGTAATTTCTAAGCATTGAAGGCATCAGGGAAGGCATTCTCCGGAATAGCCTTGAGAGCCGAGGTGCATGTTGCTTGGACCCCCTTTCATCGGCCTTTTCAGGCAAGGAAACAAAAAATGTCCGGGAGGGCCGTGCAWTTTCCAATCGGCTGCGATGTCTTATCGGACCGAGTGACACTTCATTTGAGTCACTTGAGGATTTCCACGTAAAACTTGGCGTTGACGGTTTGTCCTGGAGGAATAAATTCATGGTGGACGATGCCTTTGATGTCAAAACTTTRCGCACACGAGTCATATTGTCGGTGTTTGTCACGGTCTTCATCAGCGACCTCTTTGAGGGACTCCAAAAAAGCGTGGTGCCACCGAAATATATCACATCTTGGTAAAGCAACATTTAGGTAAGTCTGCTTAATCATATCAAACGAATTTAATCGCGTATCTCTGCTCTAACGAACSCTGCAATGTTTGTACTGACTCTTCAGGTGCCCTCTACCGAATCTAGTCGGTGCTCCGAGGTACAGTCACGGCGGAAGAAAGTCAGTCCTATTACTTTCCAAACAAACATTATAGATAGAGAGAAGTTGTCGGAGGAGAGGCGCATTGAGCTTTTGCACGGTTGTCGAAGCTGGGAGAGTTTTCTGTAAGGTGCTCTCAATCAAGATTTGCTTTTTTCTTGTTGGATCGAAGATTGACGGGAAGGATCTAGGGAGAGTTGTCTGTAAGAAGGTCTCCATYAAGCTTTACTTTAGACTACCAGACAACTGTAATGTTTTTCAGGCTAAAGCGGCTGTTATTAGGGTAACAGCAGATGTGGCATAAGTGGGTGCAGTCACTTTCAGAGCGGTGAACATGCACTTCGACACCAGAACGACAATACTACCGAACAGTCCGCTCAATGTTAGACAAGAAATAGAATCAATATCAGGCTCTTTTGGGTGCTTGGTCATAGCGGAATTGCTTGTAACCGCAAAAACAGTGAACTAGCAAGAAGGACGCACTTATCCCATTTACATCGGGGTTGGAACGTATTGGATCTCAGTTGTACTCTAGCATTTTAATACTATGTCTATGCAACTCGCGTAAGCGTAGCAGGTTTTAATCCATGATTAGCTCCTGTGCAACTGCAGGATCATTTCGACCTGGAGTAGAACGCAGAGGATCTACTGAATCACTTCATTCGTCCTAGCAAAACTCATTTTGTCACAATCGTATTTTCCAATAGGAATCCCTGCGATWAATATAAAAAACTTGTCGGACGTAAGCTGTCAAATTGTATGGAAGAAGATGAGTGGAAATAACCAGGCACTTTCTYCTCCATTTTCCAGCTTTTGCAGGTCTGAGGTTGAAACATTGCGACAGTTTTATCTTCAGCGAAAAAGGATAGTCGAGACTGGAATTTGTTGCTTTAACCAATTCGGGATATGCTAAAAGCGCTGTGGTGCTTTGTGAGAATCTTATGAACAATTCTATAGGAGTTTTAGAAATCACAACGGATCGKCGTTGTTCTAAGTTGTCTAAATGAGATCCCTGGATCGACTTTTTAACCTAATCTAACCAAGCTTCTTACCCTTAGAGTGCTAACTACCCAAATATATCCCGTAACCGAATTCGATTTGTTTAATTTTAACTATGCAGAGAATGTATTTTTCTGCTCAATACTGAAATTGAGCCTTCTTCTCCGTGACATACTTTTCATTYAGAAACTTTGTTGAATCACCTTAGCTGAAGACCGAAATATCATAAAAAGAGATCGCTGTTTTGAGAACCAAAGAAAAAGTCTTAATTGATCAGAGAGATCCGAAGTCTGAATCTTTTGAAGAACTAAAATTCTATGTTTGAAACAAACTGAGCTAGAATGAACAACTTCAATCTGATTCCGGACTATTGAGATTGCTTAAGCGAATTTACTCATTTCTTAAATTCCAGCCATATTTTAAACAATATCTGACTGTCTCTCCCATAACCCACAGCCAACTCCTTAAACGTCTACCAACACCAACCATTAAAACATTCACTTTTTAAATTTTAATTAAAACACAATTAATTAATTATAAACACCTTAGGTAAAGCACATTATTATTATACCGTCCAACACCTCCACTTTATTTCCTTATTTCCTTTGTTTCACCTACCAAAGGACTGCCGMCATAACTTCAAAACGAGATAAAAATCTCTAATAGATTTCCGCTTCATTACGCTCAATAACGGTTTCTAAAGCTGCGGCGAACATGAAAAGGCTTCAGACCGTTAGTGAGCAGCTAATACAGAAGAAAACCCATTGAAGATAATAATCATAGGTRGAGAGTAGGAAACACTAGTTGTAAACAGCACAGAAGAATGAGAAGAAGCGGAAGAATAAAGAGATGAAGCTGGCATAAAAGCACAACATCGATGAATGCTTATCGCCGGCAATGAAGAAGGTGAATGCAAAGGCTTTGTGTGACCGCCGACAGCAAACGTCAAAGCAAGGTGGGGACCACTTAATTAAAATCTCACACACCTCTCGTATGCGGCTATAATTTCCCACGTCGTAGGTGTTTACGTTTTGTTGGTGGGACTTATAAAGTTTCGCTCAACTGAAGAGAAAAGAAGAAATGGACCGACTTTCCGATTGGTATGTGTGTGGATATTTTCCTTAGAAACATAACACGCTTTAGACTTTAGAAGGAACCCTCGTTTCAGAAGTCAAAAGTAAGCGAAAAGAAAGGGCCTCAAATGTGTCCAACTAATTCTAAGCCACAACAGTAGGTCCTACCTCGAAAGTGTTTACCACACTGATTAATTTTCGAATAAGTACTCGTATATTTACAGATGATTCCAGATAAACAATTATTCTAGCAAAATATTGAGCTTGGGGTAAAACACACTTTGTTAGTGATAAGTTAGAAAACTCTTCCAAAAGACAAGTTTATCTGGAAAAATACGTTTGCTCTCCTCAAAATCACCTTTTCTTCTGTCTCGAATAGTAAATGTACCAGGTAATCATCTAAGAAATATTTTTCAAATCAAAACCGTCACCGACCGCTTTGCAACCGAATACACCACGATGTTTCGGATATCGAACAGCCGGTGGTATGAAAGAGAAAAAAGATCAGAACTCAATAGCTAGCGCTGAACCTCTGAACCTCCAACTGATAAAAAGCTGTCAACTACTTAAAGATATTCGCAAAGTTTACGAACTTTCATCAAATAAGCCGCCAATTGGTGTAACCCCGCAACTCTCTCTCACATATGCACTTACTTCTAGGTATAAATAGCAACACAACAGCTTCCTTCGCAACACAATATGATGCAAAAATCTAATTTAAACGTACCTGGCATAATAAGCAGCCGCGGCCATCGCCTGCGCTGTCTCCAAACGCACCTCGATCTTGCCGTGTCGATACGGTAGTTTGGCCGTGCCGTCCTCTTCGAGTACGAGCACGTCCTGAAACTCGCCGGTATCCTCCTCGAAAACGATTGGCAAAGCAGTCGGACGTGTGGGATGCAAATTGGATATGTTATTGCTGTTGTTGTTGCCAATGGCGSCAGTATGGTTGGCATTATTATTATAAGCGGTTTGTGGAGCTTTGTTGGCGCCGCCACCGCCACCGACGCCACTGTGTGCCGTTAATGAGGTAGCATGCGAATGTAACAAACCGGCTTGTTGYAACATCAACTCCACTGAGCTATCGGAAACATCAATGGATGCCGCGAAGGTGGAGTTTGAGTTGGCTGTCGTTAGCGGTGTGGACGGTGTGGTGGTGGCATGCACGGTTGCTTTTGTGGTGGTTAATGCGACGGCAGATTGGGTTATCATATTTTCAGCAGGCTTTTGTTGGCTGTTGTTGGTATTAGTAAATTGTTGTTGTTGTTGTTGTTGTGGTTGGGACTGCAGCTTTTGTGCGCCGTGTTGGTCCGCATGGGCGCCCAAAGGATGCTCGCGCACTTGTGGGTGATTGGGACGTTGGTGTGGGTGTTGTTGTTGTTGTTGTAAGTGGTGTTGCGGCTGACGCTGAGCAGTTGCCTTTAATGCAGACGCTTGCTGTTGTTGCTGCTGTTGTCGCTCGCGTAACTGYTGATAGAGGTAAGGACGTTGCTCGCCGTCCGCCTTCGTGCGCTGCTGCGGATTATATTGTTGTTGCTGCTGYTGTGGCTGCGGTTGCTGCTTYGGTATTGATTGCTTTGSCGGACCTGCAGTTGGTGGCGCCACGTATGCGGGCGGTTGCATGGGCAATAACTTGCTGTTGAGCTTGCCATTGCCGCCCAACTGACCTGCATCCATTTTGCTTTGACTACCATTCGTATTCACTGTTGTTGCTGTAGTAGTAGTACGTTTATTGCCACCGACCTTTGCAACGGCGGCGGCCACYAAACGCTTTCTCAACTGCCGCGATGGTGGCAGTGGTGGTGCTTCGTCCTCACCCCCAGCTTCGGCAGTKCTCGCATTTTTWGGYGGCGGCATTGGGGGTCGCTCCTTAATCGTCTCGTAGACGTGATTGAGTGGCGCGGGCGGTGGCGGTGGATTTGCCGTTGAGGCCGCATCAGATTGCAGGAGGAAATGTTTACGACTATCCACAGGCTCAACATACGCGTCGGAGAATTGGAAATGYTGCTGATAAGATGTGTAGGCGCCGAACTCTTTTGATGGCACCGATTCGTGTTGGCCAATCGCGTTGGTAGCTGGTGCCACTAGCGGTGGTGGTGGTGGCAACTTTAAGAAATGTACCGGCTTTTGTGCAACATGTTGTTTGTTGCTGCCATGTATAGGCACAAATGTTGCCAGCGCRGAGTTGCCACCTTCCTGGGTTCCGAAAGAATATTGCTGTGCCTGCTGATTGCCAAAAGACAGAAAATGGCGCGCTGATTGCTGTGCATGCTGTTGTTGTTGGTTTCTTTGCTGTGGTGCCGAGGAACTCGCAAAATTAAGCTCCACCTCCTGCCCCACCTGCCGTGCAGCCAAGAAACGTTGCTGCTGCAGGTGATGCCTCGGCTGTAATTGCGGCTGTTGCTGTAACTTGTTCGTTTGTTGTTGCTGCTGCTGTGGTTGTTGTTGTGACTGCTGCGGTCTTTCTTGGCTATGCTCGGTCTGGAACGTCGTCTGGTTCAAGAGATGCCGCTCGTAAATATCATTCAATAGATTTGTAGCGGTTTTGGATATTTGATTAAAATTTGGTTGCACTTGGTTGTGTTGCTGTTGTTGTAAGGGTATGCGACTCGCCTTCGTCGGCGATACATCGCGTTGTGGCCCACCACTYGCATTGATTTGTTGCATTGCCGGGCGGCCAAGGTTCGCTGCAGTGGCWGCCACCAATGAKTGCGGCACTGACACCGCAATTGATTGCTTCATTGCAGTGTCAACGGTACTGGATTGGTGCAATTGCTGTTGTTGCTGCTGTTGCTCGTTCCAATTACGAGTCGTTTTGGCTAGTTTTTGTGCGGCACTCGAGTTTTCATTGCCGACTGATTGCTGCTGCTGCTGCTGTTGCTGTTGTTGCAGCTGATGTTGTAATTTACGTTGCTGCTGATACTGATGATAGCTTTGACGTTGCTGATGGCCACCGCAAACGGTAGCCTTTTGTGGGCCATCACGTCTAGCGGCCGTGCTGCTGCCTGCCCCATTGTGTCGGGCCCGATGCACTGAGGCCTGTAAAAGATTAAAGTCGTTAAATGATTTAGGAAAGCATGTTTTTTTTTTTTGGAGAATTCTCATAAGAAATTTGGAGTTTTTTAATTTCAAAACTGCAGTATTTTTTGGTTTGCCTTGAACTTTAAGTTTTAGGTAGAATACAGAATCAAATATCTGAGTTAAAGGGTTTTTTAGTGATAACCTAGAAGGTAATCGCTCTCCCAAACATAAGCTATGGAGCGTATAGAGAGTATCGGAATATACGCCAGACAGAAACTTTAGACTAGCTTAGCCTTAGCACTTTTGCTTCATAATTTTCATTTAATACAAATAGCCCCGGAAGACGAAATTCTATATCTCTGTACCTAGAAAATCTGAAACAAGTTTAAGAGCGGAGAAAGTCACTGGAGAATAGAATCATCGTCTGTAACTGTAACATTGGAACTCATCCAGTGAAGCTAAAGATGTTAAAGGACGCAAATTGTCAAAGTTGCAATGAGGAAATGAATTGGAAGCACTATCTCCTCCAATGTCCAGATTTCGCCAGACTAAGGCTGAAGCATCTCAACATACTGTTGCCACACTGTCTACGAACCCGGCGAATTGGCTGAAATTGACGGTCTTTTCGATCCATACCTAGGAGTTCTGGACATCACARCGAACAGGGGTATCTGGCTGTTCATGTGAGATTTTTTTTGACCTCAAGAAAAATTAATTCATCAACCTAACCATTTCAGATACAAAGGCAATTTCTGAAATATAAATCTGGATTTGAATGAAGCAATTCACAGCAAGGCGATCATCACCTAAGTGTACTACTCTCATGAAAGATGTCAGAACACAACAATTGAAAACTAGGTAAGTGAGTCGATGTGACAAAACCAAGTAATTTCTGTTTCTGGTCGGACTCGATCCCGATATAACCATGATACTAAGCATCTCTTTACATTTCGATTTATATTCTCACGCCTTTAATTTTTTTTAAGTGTACTACACTATGTTCTGAACGAATCTAATCACTTGAGATTTAACAGTTTTCGAAATGACAGTTGCTGTTGATGGCAGAGGAATAAGGTAGCMCACAGGGTTTGTCCGGAAAGTAATATGACTGAGGCAATAGCTTTGGGAGCCGAGGTGTATGTTGCTTGGATCCCCTCTGCCGTTTCAAAATGCTTGCCTTTCAAGACCGATGAACAGGCAAGTTTCAGGCAAAGAAACCAAACAAAAAAAAAAAAAAACTCCGCGGAGGCCATATCTGGGTTGGAGGGCGGCTGCGAAAGCGTGGGATGCCGGCCTTGGTTAGGTAGCTGTTCACAAGAAAGGCGATGTGAGCCGGGGCCTTGTCGTGGTGCAACTTACAATTGGCTGCGATGTCTTGTCGAACCTGATAGACCTTTCATTTGAGTCTATTGATTGTTCAATTAAACAAATATCTGAGTTCAAAACTTTGCGCACTTTGTCGGTGTTTGTCGAAGTCGCAAGTCTCCCAGCACGGTCTTCATCAGCGACCTCTTCCCGGCCTTCCAAAAAGGCCTGGTAACACCCAAAAACACACCACTTCTTGCTAAAGCAACATCTGGGTAAGCTTGCTTGATCATATCAAACGTTTCTGTCGTAGATTTAACGAGTTTCACACAGAATTTAATCGTGTACCTCTGCTCTAACGACCGCTGCATTTTCGGCTTGCACCACTCACAGAAACACATCGCGCGAAAATGTTTGTCCTGACTCTCCAGGTGCTCATTCGTTAGCTAAGTACGCCCTCTACCGAATCCAGTCGGTGGGCTCATGTTTGAATGTACAGTCGAAATCAGTTTGATTACTTTCCGAAACACCATGTATTCTGTATTAAACAGATTGAGCCTGTTATGAAGTTATGGAACTAGCTTCAAACTTTAAAATAAATTTTCTGATTTCTGAATTTTTTGATTTCTTAATCAACCGGAAAAATGGTAGTCAGAAGAGGCAAAGCCTGGGCTAAAAGACAAATTTCACCCATTTTTGAGATTTTAACCGGTTTTTCAACATAAAACYGAGCGTTGTCATGATGGAAAATTGTTGCTTTCTATCTAGCCATACATTTTGTGCGCTTATCGGCAATGACACACTTCAAATTGATGAGTTGTTATGGATAGTGTTTTCCAATAATGATCTCATCCAGTTTTAGAAGCTCGTGATAGAGCACGCCCTTCTGATCGCATCAAATGCAAAGCCTTATCTTGGTATGATGGATATKCGACTTTGCCGTTAACTTGACTAGTTGGCCCGAATTCGAATATGATTTTTGGGCTTCCTTTTTTYAWAACCARTCAMAATTCGAAGCAAAAACGACTTCTTKGTAGACTTCAAATAGCATTTCTGATAAGCAAAATCGCTTTGAACGGTTCTTGTCTCTAATTCTTGGGACACTCAATTTCCTTACTTTTGAATGTATATGTTTTGAAATAGCTGCTAGAGTTAAAGTCTCAAAGTTTCTGGGAGCTGTTTTTATGTTTGGTAACTATCKTTAGCGGCTAATCCGTGCAGTTACTCATTTCTAAACATTGTTGACCCCAAAAAAGGTTCTTCATCCACACAATTTTAWTACTTGTCAGAGGTTTTATAGAATCGCAAGCTTTTTGGCAATCATTGAAAAACCTTTCAAAGCTATTTCCGTTCTTTGAATTACTTAGAAAGCTGTTGGTGAACTTGAATCCTTGTTGTGTTTTCTAGCCTGTTGTTTTGGAAGATATACCATAAAATTGAAGAATCTACAGGGTCAGAAATATTAGTTAAATGCATACTTTTATCAAAACCACTTCTTAGCAGAGAGTTACATTCCTCTTTCCACTTATTATAATGCTCTAAGCCAAAAAACTGTAACCTAACCTAATTTTTGTTCGTTCGTCCATTGACATATAGCAAGTCCGTAAACAAGGAGAATGGCTTTCGACTATTTACAACAACTGCTCAAATATACAATGCGATAGAGCACTTGCCGTCCAAACAACTTGTCTTACGTTCCCTCTTAGACACTCACCTTCAAAACACGCACAATTCCCCCTACAAACCAAATCGATACGCCCTACACTCTGCTTCCAAGCATGAAATCATATTAAACTTTATTATGTACGAGTAAATCACTTGAAATTTCATGTTTACACGCTGCACAGTTGTTCTGTGATTGCCACCGAATTGTGAGCTTAAATGCTCATTTTACGACATCACGTCTCATCAATTTAAATGCGAACACACGAAAATCGTCGCAGAGCGCAGACACAATTAAATCATTAAAATCGTCAAACAAGATGCACCGACATGCAACTGCAACATGCAGCGGCGACAAGCCTTCAAGTGAATGACAAAACGGAAGTCAGGCAATGAAACGACGCGTGTGTGTGTGTTGTTGSAACACGCGCTAAATGTGGAAGAATTTAGTGCACGCGTACAAAGCAAACACACATGCCCCCACACAGCTGCTTGTAAACAAATATGAAAGTGATACGGTTGCTCTCACAAACCGATCGCTAGCGCAGCGGGTATAAGGGGGGCCGAGCGTGTGCGTGTGGAATTTGGATTTTTATTACAAGTGTAGCATGTTGCTGGTTGCATGCCGCACGCCACATACCGCATTGACATCGTAAAATTTACTATCAAAATAAAACGGAGAAAAAATTCACACACACACACACAAATGAAAATTTCAACAATAAAAACAACACAACATCAAGCAGTTAGAACAATAGTCGTCGCTATCAAAACGTAGAATTCCATCAAAATTCTGAGCAACAAAAAGTCAAAACGGCAACAAATCAGACAACGCAACATTTGTGTGTATGTGAGCGTGTATGTGCTTATATGTATATGTCTGCTGTCAAGGAATGCACTTGTAGAGTCTGTGGATGGCGTGTATGAAATGCGCAATGCCAAGTGTTGGTGTTAGAGCTGTGGTAAAAGTGTGACATGTGGTTGCATGCCACACGAAGTTGTAAAGTTGGCAAGCCATTGAATAAAGTGACGGAATTTTATTTTAGGAATTTATTGTTTTAATTTTTACTTATTATTGCACAAGCGTATATGTATGTAGTCGATATTGCATACATTTATATACATACGTTGGGACAAAAAGCACCCGGAAATCTTAATTAAAATTTCCCGCGTAAATGGTATTTCAAAAAAAAAAAAAAAAAAATTGTTTTCAAAACACAAATTTAGCCAAAACACAAGCCTATGCGTGGCACAAAACCTTCAAAGACAGTCGGGAGATCTCTGTAGACCTTCGACCGCTTTAACTGATGAAAATATTAAAAAAAAAAGTGAAGAATATGGTGCTTGGAAAATCGTCATGGAAGAGATAGACAGTTGGCTATAGAGCGCGACATCTCTCGCGAGTCTGTTCGAATGATTGTGGTGGATATTTTGGATATGAAACGCATTCTTGCGCAACTYGTYYCGATAAAGCTGAGCTTCTTTCAAACAAACTTCAATCGCGACAGAATTTAAAGCGAAAAACACAATGAATACCATCACAAGATTTGGCTCCGAGTGATTTTTTCTTGTTTTCTCAAACAGAAATTGCTGCTCCGTGGAACCTGTTTTCGTTTCATCGAAGAGAAAAAACCAAATTCGCTGCAGGAGCAGAAGGCCAATCCTAAAAGTGCTTATGAAAAGTGTTTCGAGGACTGACAATAAGGCGACAAAATAAATATTGATGAATAATTAAATATTCTACAATTGCCGGGAACTTTTTTGTCACAATGTATAATATAGACTGTAATATAASAAGTCGATTTTTCATTCTATAAAAATGATTTAGAGCTCTTTAGCTCCTTTGTTCATTTTGTCACCTCAAAMTCCACAAAAGAAGCATATGTTTCAATGAAGATGTCACAATTCGTCTTACACCATCACTTGCAAGAACAATGTCTGTCCGTTTGTCTGTTCGTGGAAATGCGATAATTTGGGAAAAAATTTAGACATTTTAATGCATACATATGTTCCTATGTATTCTATATGCGAAAATTGGAGAAATTGGATGATAACCACGCCTTATAACAAACTTCAGTATTCTGTCTGATTCTTTYACTTAAGGGGTTACATGGTTTCACAGTTTCAAAAAATCGGCAATTTTTGTCTTATTAAATTGTATAACATCTCTAGAATATTGTCCTAAATTTTCAAGTTGATCCGATAAATAGTTTCGGAGATACAATCTTGAAAAGGTGGACGCTCGAGGTCAGGTATAAGCTGAGGGCGCAGTAGGTAAAACTTTAAGCGCGAACTACTTAACCGATCTTAATGAAATTTTGCACAGGTCTTCGAGATATCATTTACAAGGTCTTGACAAGGTCTCCAACAATTTAAAAAAAAAAATTCGAGAAATTTTCATCGAAATTTGCATTTTTTTTATAAAAACGTCTGCCAAAAATCCAATTTTCATTTTTTTTTTTTTGTTTTGCTTCGTTCAATACCTAGTTTATTGTTTTTACTAAAACAAGTATTTTTTATTTTTATTTCAGATGATCCTGAAAGAAGTTCTGCTGACAACGCGGATGCACCTTTTTTCCGAGGGACTGTCGGAAATGGCGTCGTAATGGCAACCATTTTGATATTTCTTTTTGAAAATTTTACAAGATRTTTACTAAAAATGAGTCTTTTAAATTAAAAAAAAAATCATTAAAATATTTCATTTTTTATATGAAAAAAAAAAAATATTTCAAAAAGGACGTTTTTTGCTCAAGGAAACCCATGTAACCTCTTAACAGACTACAAATCAGAAATTATCAGACTGAAAGTTTGAACAAATAACGCCGTCAAGGTATTTAGCCTAATATTCGAAAATTATKGTAATTAGACAATAAATTCTCCATGACCTAGCCACAAAGTATATTGGACACCATGCACATGGTTTGGGTTAGGTGAGGTAAATGCGCTAATCTCCGTGAGGCCACGAATAATAACACTTGCACTGTTAGACTTTCCCATTGTGATGCCCAGAACTCCTAAATACGAATCAAAAAAAAAGAGCTAGCTACAAATTTAATGAGACGGCTAATATCTACTAAAGCCAATTCTCTGGGTTCTTAAAAAATATGGCACCTGAAAATCTTCAACCTTAGTCTGGCGAAAGCTGGTTAGTGGAGAAGAAAGGGCCTAGATGTTTCCACCCCAGTTTCCTCATTGCAACTTTGACGAATTGCGTCCTCCAAAACCTTTAGCCTCACCCCGCGTAGACCAATGGGACAGTGTCCATAAGAGTTAGTAGTTCCATGGACTATTATTTTTCTAACTACCGGTTGACTTAATACGGCATGGATTGATGAAATAATCACTCTCTCATACTAACAGAGCAAATTCCCCTTTTATAAACAAAATGTTTTTTTTTTTTTTTTTTTTTGTCTCAGGATTCAATTAAAAATTCTAAGCTGGGAATTAACATCTTTTTGGACCTGTACAATATATTATAAWTTATTAAACCAAATTTTCCTTGAATACTTACAAAAACTGGCGCCTCATTAGCCGATGAGTCCCCATCACTGCATCTGTAATGTGAGGAAAAATAAATTATGATAATATTTAAACAGATATTGATGCCAAAAAAAAAAATTAATGACGAAAAATGGACCTAAAAGAAATTACTTAATAACTAATTAAAAGCCAATTAACATATATTTAAACAAAACTTCTCATTAAAAACTAATTAAAATAATTTAATATGAAATGCATAAAATTGCTCTATATACATATGTAAGTATGCATTTCGTTAGAACATTCATTATTATTCATGCTGACTTTTCAACTATCAGCGGTAGATGGCGCAAAATGAAACACAATTTCAGTATTCCACCTCCATGGTGTAAAAGAATACTCTAGCTCAGTCGCAAACCTAGCACATACAAGACAATCAAAATGCTTCGCTAAGGCACTCAAAGTGTGGAAATGTCTGTTCTCGTTGGATTTTGTCTGAATTTTTTCGGAGTCTCAGTTGAGTTAGCTCGTAAATTGTTTGAGACTTTGCTAAATTGGGAATACTTCAGGCGATGAGAAGACTTTTTGGTCAAGGGAAAATAACGTTTTTTCAGAGAACGTATTCTTTGGTATTTTACGTGCTCTGGAAAAAATATTACGAGGCACATGTATTATATTTGCGTAAACTGCCAAAATATAATAAATGAATATTGACGTCCTTTATTTGACTACGTTTGACTAGAATGATGTTTTAGGCTAGCATTTCTTTAACTGGTTTGGCGGCTTTTCAAGAGGCGGAAAAAAATCATAAGAACTGAAAAGCTAGACTTAGAGAGTTAACACCAGAGTAAATTATTATGAACTTTATATTAAAAAACTATCACCGGTTAARCGATATTACAAAAATGTATTTTCCTAAGATGGATAAGGTTAAAAATATTGAGCAAAGAATTTGCCTCAAAATTTGTATTTCTAACCAAATTTCGTRTGCGGAATCGTTGCGAATGTTGTAAAAGSCTTACGGTGATTTAGTTTTAAAAAACACAAGCCTAGTATTCRTACAAAGTYTTCAAAGACAGTCGAAAAATACATGAATGAAGACATGCCTCATYCTGGACGATTTTYGACCRCTTCAACTCGTGAAAATATTATAAAAGTAAAGAATATGACGCTTGTAAATCGTCAGGCAAKTGTTAAAGAGATGAMAAGAGAGCTCGATATCTCTCGCGAGTTCGTTCGAATGACTTTGGTGGATATTTTGGGTATGAAAYGCGTTCTTGCCCGACTCGTCCTGATAAAGTTGAATTTTTTTCAAAAAGAGTACCTTAAGTAAGTAAGAGTACAGGTATCCTTGGACATGCTTGATCGTGCGAATTCCGATCCGTTAAAGGAGGTGAAGGCCAACCAAAAAAATGCTTATGAAAAGTGTTGTGAGGACTAGCATATCTGGTGGGGATTACTTTAAAATAGAAAAAATAAATATTGATAAATAATTAAACTTTTTTCGGGTACTTTTTTGTCACAAGCTATAATATTGATAAATAATTAAACTTTTTCCGTATACTTTTCTGTCACAATGTATAAAAAAAAAATGATTCAAAAAACTGGTTAAGCAAGGAACAATTTCTGGACCAAGTGCTTAGAAATACAATACCTACCATAATTATACCTTGAAGAAACCTCACGTTGAGAGAAACCGGGTCTTCTGCATTTTTTTTTTTTTCAGAAAAAGCATTACAGACACCAAATAAAGTTATATAATTTTCATCACTAACACAAAAATGATAAAATGTGGAAAATAAATAATAAATTTTCTTACCTGCCACTACTCTTRCGATTCCTCGCCGATTTCGTACGCTGCAACATATTTGCCTTCAGTTCTCACACTTGCTCAAATACATCCAGAAGATCATTCGGTGGATAAACTGTAGGTTCTAGTAGATAAGTCAGCGTACCGCCCACAAATTGTTGTTGCGCCGTTGCTCTAATTTATTACGCACACATTTCCATATTMATATGGGTGGCTATGTATGTGTGTGTACGGCCGCCTTGTCTTAGAACTGTAATGAAAAAGATGTTACGAAAGATTCATGAGTGGAATGACGATTTTTTACGGCAGCAATTTGTAGCTATTGATAAGAGATAACAGATAAATAAAAGCGGCAATGCGAAATAAATTGAAAATGTGAAAACAACAACAACAACAGCAATATGGTWTATGAGCATGCAATGAGTATTTGGTGGCATGWGGTATTTTTTAATTAAAATGCAAAATGCTTGTCACACTTTGGACGGCTTTGATTTCGTTGGTGCGATAAAAAAGACAAAAACAACAACATTTTTGTTTTTGTAAATGTCTAGCTAAATGAGAACCCACGCGCTTCAATGGTCGCTGAATTTCAAAACGCARCTTTTCTAAACGCTTCATTTGTAAGAAATATGTGTAACGGTAAACGATCACGGCACCGCATTACTTTTTGTTTTTGTCACGGCACATGTATTATTGCTTTATTCGGCATCTAAATGAGTRGGCTTCCTCATTAATTTCTGTCCAYAGAAGCATATGTGCTATTTACCAGCTGATTTCTTATCTCTTATCAACCTGTATTGTCTATGTGTGTATGCATGTGTGTGAGTAGAGGAAACTCAAATATGAAGTAACGGATTTATAAAAGCAGTACACATTTCAACTGTCTTGGCGCTTTCCGCTTTCCGCTTAGCGCTCTTCGCGCCGCCCTTGCACGCGCTTATGTCTTCGCAATTCGTCGTTGCCGCGTCGTCAAAGGATTGTCTAATGCAGGAATGGCAGTCTTTTGAGTGCTTCCTTTTATTTACGAAACGAAAGGAAACGTATTTGAGCGAGCTGTGAATCAACGCAAAATTGCATTGCCGYCGCACATTTTAATGGGTGTTAAGAGGAGCCCTCGTTTGTTTGGTTAGTGTTAAACCGAAACCGAAACCGTTATTCGGTATTCGAATATTTTTCGTACAGTTCGTACGGTGAATACTGAATTTTTAAGGGATTACGTGGGTTTACGGGTTTAAATCGAATTTTTTATTGTCTTATTAAATTCTACAACACCTCTGAAATATTGACCTTTTCAAGTGGATTTGAGTAACAGTTTCGGAGTTATACTCTTGAGAACTTCTGCGMTCAAGGCTGGCTAGGCTAAGTGCTCCGTCYTTAAACACGTTTTTCTCGAAACTTTGCTTTTGAAATCGGTTGGCAAGACTTCTCTGCTCAACCGATCTTCATGAAATTTTACACAGGCCTTTGAGTTACAATTCTGAAAGATTGGACGAAGAATTTTTTTCGATTACAACTATTTGAAAAATAAAAAAAAAAAAAATGTCTTTTCCTACCGCTCCTTTGTATACGACTTTGCCGTTCCTGCATGCATCTTATTCTGATCGGTCTATCAGTTCCTTCGGTTTTAACGACTCGGGTATTTCCAGAACTGATTCGACTGTCAAATGACACATTCGATAATTTCATCAGTTATTTCGTTTCCTGGAACGCCCTTGTGGCTKGGAACCCAGTATATGTATATGCAGCGCCTTTCTGGCATCCACAWCTGTCTCCCTGTCTCAAAGGACCTTCTCTGATGCAATACTATGTGAGCATTGCAGTTTTGACCAACAAAAATATTGCTTGCTTTACGAGTATATGCTTACTTTAGAAAAAGATAGATCCACTCTAGTTAGAGATACAGAGAGAGCAAGTTAAGGTAGAGAAAGARACAATGTAAGAATTGATGTTTTTCTTTCTGTATTATAGGGTTTGACATCGTCGAAAGTTCATTGGTATAGGTTTAGAAAAGCATCGCGTAGAGCTCCTTTGCTCCAAATAATGCTCTCTGATCTTACAAGTATTACAAGAGGTAAATTTTTTGGAAAGGCGAAATAATATAAAGTATCTGCCCACAATRTGCATGGATTCTGTAATCAGTAGTGGACTGAATATCCAGTTTCTCGTTTCTATAAACTCTAATCTGAAACCCTTCGGCAGAGAGCTGTTCTATTGTCTTGTACTTTTGAACAAAAAGTTTAGAGTCTCAGACATTACTTTCTTCTATGCCGTATAGTACCTGGTGCTTCTATGGATTGCACTTATAAATGCCTACATGACTCTAATATCTATATGATCTGCGAAGTTCAACCGACGACAAATGGTTCTCAACATCCACAATGTTCGGTCGACACTTGATTCAATTTATATGGAATYGAAAGAGAGAGGAATTGCAACAAAATCTACTCTATAAGTTTTTGGACTTTACAAAGATTAATAGATGAGATTCTATAGGGTATTTATTTCGTATATTTTTGATACACGATCTAACCTAACCGAAGCGTTCCACAAGTTCAACACTTGTACAAAAYTAATTTTAAATCTACTCTTCGAACAGCTTTTGGATGTTCTTTAATGCTATGAACCCTGCACCATAATTCGACAACACATTTTTTAAACTAAATTTCCGGTTTCGAAATCACATAGCAACTGAAACCGTATATTCGGTCTAACACTAGGGAAAGCCGCACCACATGCTGCGCGGATAATAGCCAGAATTGTCACTTGTTAAACCCCCCATGGTGTGCGATATTGCGAGCTGTTTATGAACACCAGAGCTTGACACAGGCAGYCACACTCAGAAATAACTAGCACGCACACTGACACATTTGCATGGTTTGTTTGCGTTTTAGAAAAGTGCATATGGAAATCCCGGATAAGACAAATAGAGCTGAGCATTTTATTAAAAATAGCAGCTGTAAGTACAGCACAACTTAAACGTCAACAGGATATTGATGCACAGTGGGAGTTTATGACGAATAGGACGAGAGAGTGAATAGCTGAAAGTTCCAAAAGAGCTCGTAAAACATTGTAGTGAGTTCTGAGTAATTGAATAAATTGAAAGCGTAACTTGTACTGGAAAATCAACGCTGAAACGTCGAGTTATATGAGTAAAGGTAGCTAGAAAGAGTCGACGAAGATATAATCAGAGTTTTTACTAACAAAAACTGTGGACTTTGTCTATACATCCTTACTAATACCGGCCGTGAGCTCTTTCTTTGATTATTCTAGCTCTCAATAAGTTGCAAAGTTCTCCATCTCGACACCAAAGAAAAGCTGAAATTTTGTCACCTATCAGTGATCTATATAACTTAGAAAAAATGTGAAGGAAGAATGCCTTAGCAGTAACTTTCCGCCATYCATCAGTGTGTTTTCTGAGTTAATTTATTTTCAGCAATATTTCCCCTTCCCAAACCATAGTCCTTGCAGTCCTCTGCCATGCTATGCGCTGTGCCACTGTTGACACGCAAATAAAAGCTTTAAAGGAAATCTGTAGCGACATTTCTAATGATATGATTGCACGTACGGATTTTTGTACATATGTATGTAGGTATGAAGGAATGCGCATAAGCAAATATGCATGTCGATTTAGATTCCAACCCATTTATGAGAAATAATCAACTGCTTTGAGCTCGGAAATAATATTGTTTGAGGTGCGATAAAAATCACGCCGCACAGCACAAAAGGCGCACCMGAAAGCCAGAGCTGCCACTTGTTTATGACGAAAAGGAAAAAATAAAGTGTATAAAAAGGAGGAAGACTTTAAATCAGCGCTATTACATACAAAATAAGCTCCCAGTGTGAATGGCTTTACAGGGCTTTCGACAAAAAGTACATACTTTACTTACTTTTATGTACTTTTGGTAAAATATCGTGAAACGCAGTGTTTAAATTCTAAARTGCTAAGGAATAATGCGAAAGAGAAGTGTATTTACAGAAGTCCATAAAAGGAAAGAAAAGTAGTTTCGCAAAAATTGCTAAGTGTGGACACAGCTCAAATCCAATCCCCTAATCCCTACTTGTAAATACTTTAAAAACAAACAATAAAATTGAAATTCGTTTTCGCCTATTGATTCACAGTTTTTTTTTTTTTTTTTTTTTTTGCTAATCACATTCAACGTTCAATCTTGGGAAGAACATTTTCTATCCACCTTTCTGTTGCATCGACACTTTGTACTCGATAATTTCTTCCATTTTGTCTCATATTATATGTTCATACTTCTTAAAATACTATACTACTGACAATATCTAGCTGAAACTATACTAGGTTTCAATTGAATTCGGGGGAACATCATTACATGAGCAGTCTATTAAAGTTATCACAAAGGAAAGTGTTTTCGACTAAAAATTTGTTGGAGGGGTTCCGAAAGCCAGGTTTTACAAAGGATCAACGAGGATCGGCTGAAAATTTCCAACTAGTCCCAGTGGTTTTTGACGTCCTGATACAGACAGACAGACGGACATGGCTAAATCGACTCAGCTTGTCATTCTCATCATATATTATATTATGTATACAGGTTTTGCCCGGAAAGTAATAGGACTGAGTCGATTTTAAAAGAAATTATTGAACCAATTTGTATTTGTATTTTATAGATTCCCCGATGCTTCCTTCCGGGTGTTACAAACCTCTTGGCGAACTTAATTTACCGTGTTCATGGTTTTACATAAATTATGCGTATGTGGCACTAGCAAATATTTGTTTACATATATTTTCATTATGTATAATGCTTTGATACTACTAAATTCGCTACTAATTAATTATGCATAATATTTAGACTCGTTAGGACACTTTATTATTTATTAATTTACTAATTGAGCAGGCAGCCACATTCAATGATTCATCGGTTAAATGTTCATATACTCATGTCTACTACTATGTATGTAACACGCAGATTGAGTAGGGAAAAAATAATCTTTCAAACGTGACACAACCACACAAAAATTGTCTATCAATTGGAGGAGAAAATAAATCGTATGTAACGGGTGGTCAAGGTAGAGGTGTCTTTATTAGCCCTTTTCCGACAGAAACATGACGTGAGTCATGTTAAGATGTCACACTATTTTAGTTCAGTATTGTTTGGGATTTCATAATTCGTTATTGGGTATGGAACGACTTAGTGCATTTTACTTCGAGATCTTCAATTGAAAGCGTACAAAATACAGATTGTGCAAGAACTGAATCAGTCAGACCTTCCCAAGCGACATTGCTTC